CAACGCAACGCGTAAAAAGACAGTATAAGTAATTATAATCAGTAATTATGTCCCCACTAGATGCGACAAATGGGTTTTAATGTTTTTGTCTCGTCGCACCGTGACATGGCATCACAGTATGGTAAGGGGCGTAACATTTCCGTCACACGCTTGAGGTATTCGGCCAATCACAACGCACTGGATAGCTGGCCAATCAGAGCACACCTCGCTTTTCAGAACGATGAGCTTTGTAAAAATCGACGCGTTTCAGAAAGGCGGGGCATAGAGGAGTAACAATAATGTACAGTATGTGGAAAATAATGTGTTTTTTGAACCTTAAACCACATAAACACATTTCATTACACCAAATACACAAAATAATGTTCTTTTTTTATCAACGTCATATGACTCCTTTAAATAAATGGCTGATATAAAAATTTTACAGTTTTTTTTTTCTAAATAAAATAAAACACTAAAATTTCAAATAAATTATAATGATATCACAACATTGTAATGCACAGTATGAAAACAGATATTCATTTTGAGATTTACTAAAGATTACATTTGACGTTTAATGTTATGAAAAGTTATTATTTTTAAAGATAAATTTTAATACTTTTGGGCATTAGATGATGGCAAAGGTAGTTTAACTGTAAAAACACGGGAAAATGAGGATGCACAATTTATTATCCAATAGTCACCAATGTCAGTAAGTACATGTCAAAATTTGACTCATACCGATAAATAAAAAATAAATACAATAGTACCAATATATAATATTTTCTTAGTTTATGATCCATCCCACATCAGCTAGTTTGTGCCCTGCCTACCTATCAACTCATTCAATCAGACTGAAAAATATAACACAATAGGATATTTTTGGATAACCTGATGAAAAATGTACTTCCAAACAAACATCTACAGGAGAAAAATATGCCGTGCGCATAAAGCATTTTCCCCTACTATTCTCAAATGTGTTTAAGAAGACATTGTGCTTCTGAGAAACATTTGCAATGCCACAGTGGGAGGCAACCTGAAATCTAATGCAGACTATATTTTAAACCCACACTGAAGTTAAAAGGGCTGCAAAGAAAATTAACTACTTTTCATTGAAAAAACGTGTGCGAGAGAGGAAAGTGTCTGTTTCTAGCTGGCTCTGTGTTGTGAGTGTGAGTGTTTTTCACGAAACACCTGGTTTGTGCAGCTCTCCGGCTCTTTTACAAGCAGTGAGTCACAGAAGCGTGAAGCACCAGCAGATTTTTGCACTGACACTGCTGACCATACATCAACATGCAGACGCAGCGAGCCTTTCACTGTTCAAGGCCTCTGTGTGTGTGTGTGTGTGTGTGTGTGTGTGTGTGTCACGGAACACAGAGCACATCCTATGAGTGGCCTCAAGAACATGTGCATGAAATGAGAAAGAAGATAGAACCATATTATATAGTGACACACTCATTATTTAAAGCAATGCTATAGTTTTAATGAAATTCAAGTGTATGTGAGAATATGAGATCATGATGGTACAACTGTGCTCATAAGTTAACATTTGACTGGCAGAATCTGCTAATATTTTGCATTATTTAGCATTGTGTTTTTACTGTGCTGGAGAATCTACATAACTGCTATTTAAGCATATCCCACAAGACAATAGAAAAATTATCCTATACAAAAGTTCACATGCATAATTTGTTGCCTCCTTTTATGATAGTTGTTCATGAGTACCTTAGTTGTCCTGAGCAGTAAAGCTGGACCTCAACATAACTGAGCCAGTGTGGTTGAGAGCTCAAACATGCAGAGCACACTGGGAAAAACCAAAGAACGTACAGTACATGGAGGTTTTCTCTCAAAAACTGTGGGAAGATGCACAGTACAAACCTTGTGCACAAATATCACAAAATGAGATTTTTATGATTTTTTTTTTAATATA